CCACGCTTTAAAATTGTCAATAATTCTTTCCATATAGAGATACGATCCATTTCTCCTCTTGAATCTTCTGCCTCTTTTAGTTTTATCACTCTTTGCTGTTTCTCGTGAGCGATTCGTGCTTTTTTAATATCATCTCGAGAAACACCCTGAAGCCAATTATCATGAAATTCATTGGGGTCTTTTTTATTGGGAATGTAATTTCCCGCATCATCAAATTTACCCTCTTCCATCTCGGCTTTCATATTGAATGCTTCGATACGAATTTCCTCAGAATCACTATCAATGTCAAATGAACCAAAATCTTGTCCTTGAATTTGATCCATTTCCAAATACTTGATTTTTGATCTATTCGACCTTTTTTTTGCATCAACCTCGAAAGTTTCGTCGTCCGAAGCAAACATGTCATCTTCGTTCTTCGCTTTGCCTTTATCTAAACCTTTACGACGCTCAAAACGAGCGTCAACATCATCTTCACTAGTATCTGTCTCGTCACTTCCATAGCCCTCTAGTTTAACAGCGCCACGACGAGATTTTGGAAGTTCAAGCGAGTCTTCGAAATTGAATTCTTCTTGATCTACTTCGTTATTATTTCCGGTTTCTGTCACTAAAACAGATTGGTTAAAGCGAACACGTTTTGAAGTGGTGTCCTCAGTTTTTTTATTATTCTTTGATCGCGAGGTTGAAGCTTGAGTTCTTTTTGACATTTTCTTGAAAGTTTGATTTCACCCTAGCCACAGCAAAAATGTGTCTGGTCATGTGATTCTGATCTGACACTTTTTATAGATCGTTACATAAAAAGAGCCACATTTTACTTGATAATTTATTACATAGTTCAAATCATAACCAGGGCACAGATTTATTAGAAACCTTGTCTATAATGATTTTAATAGTTTGTCTAGGCATAATTATTAGCAAATTAACGATTTATAGTGTTTTTAGCGCTCATATTCATTCGAAAAAAATAAAAGAGGCAGTCACACTGCATTTATAAATACATATTAATTAATTAAAAAGAAGAAAGACCTGATATTATGGGATTAAATACTTTATTATTATATTCTTGTCAAATACACGATAGAGAATGTTGATTCGAGATTACAACGTCACGTGTATGGCGCAGTAAAATTAACTTCTTGACTTCAGAATTAGTAATATCCTAGCCACGGCAAAAAAATATCGATCACGTGATTTTCCGACCAATATCCAGCACTCGGCTATATCACGTTATTACGACTGATATCGATGTAATGGCACACTTTGCAGATCTTTAATTAGCCAAGTCAAGAAAATAATAACTTTATTATTAGCTTTACTATAATAAAAATCATGCTAAATAACTTGAATTTAATAAATTAACAAAACTTTATTATTTTTTTTCTTTTAATTTTTCAGTTCCTTTTTAATTATAAACTTATAATATCTTTTGATACTTATTAATTACTTTTACTATTAACTTTAATAAGCTATTAAAAATATCTATAAAGTGATTATTATCTATTTCTTATTCATATAAGACAAACATAATTTTTATAGTTTTTTATAAGTAATTTTTTCTTATATTTTTGTTAATTATATTATATCTTATAATTATTGATAAATTAATAATACTTAAACTTTTTTCTTTAATAAAATTAGTTATTAATATATCTTATAAGTTATTACTTTTTCTATTAAGATTATTCATCTTATATTGAGATTAGAAATTACTTACTAAATTAATCATTAATATTTTATTTTTTTTAAAAATAAGTAAAAAATAATTATGTTAATATATTATTTCTAAGAAGATAGACCAAAAATAAATATTATTCTTCTTTATAATAAGATACTTATAGATAAGATAATAATTATAAAGATATGCTAATCAAGAATATATCTAGTTATTTATATTAATATAATAGATTTTATCTATATCAGACTGGATTTTTATGATTATTACTTTTTTTTAATCAATTTTAAAATTATTCTATCATAATAAAAATATTTAATTTTCTTTAAATTAATTCATTTTGAAATTAAAATTAGATATTAATTATTTTACAAGAATCTGAGTAAAATAATTCAGATATAATTAATTATAATTATATTTATAATTATATTTAAGAATTTATCAATAACTTTTTGTAATTATAGTAATTTATTATAATAATATAATAACTAAATATATTAATTAAGAAAAAAACTTCTAGTTTTTTTTTATTATATTAGTTTATTTATAAATATTTTCATAATTTAATAAGATTATGATTATAGTAAAACTGATAAATTTTTTTTTACATAACTTTAATAGATTTTAGTAAAGTTTCAAAAAATATTCTTAATTATTAGCATAAATAAATATATATTTATATATCTTTTTACTATATTCAAGAATTTTTTAATAGAATTTTCTAAATATAAAATTTAATATTATTATTATTTTAAAATAATAAGAATAATTGTATTTACAATAATTATTTATTTTTATAGTTTTTAAAAGATTATATAATTGATTATCTTCTTAATAAAATAATTTATATAATTTTACTTTTAATAAAATACTTTTTTAATAGAATAAAAAGAAAATAAAGATAAGATATATAATAAGATATATATATTTATTAAAGAAAAATACTAATTAACTATTCTTAGCTTAGTAACTAATTCTTTCTATCAAATTTAATTATTCTTCTTAGCTATTTCTTGACTCTTTATATATAATATTTTCTGACTATACTAATTATAAATTATTTCTAACATAATATTTCACCTAATTTACTTAAGAACAAGTAGAATTTCAAAAGAATAATTATAAAGAATATTAAATACATAATAATTAAGAATTAAAATTAGTAAAATATTAAGATATTCAAAACTAAAGTGAGAAAAAAAAGAAAAATTAATAATAATTAATTAGAAAATTATTAACTATAAATTAGATATAATATATATAACTAAATTAATAAAAAAATAAGACTAAATATAAATAATAAGATGAATTAAAAATAGAATTAATAATAGATTAAATTAATTAATATAAATTTCTTGTATGTCTAATTTAGTAATAATTAATAATTACTATATTATATACTATAATTATATTATATATTATATTATATTTATTATATTATAAGAATAGGTAATTGATTATAGAATCTCTGACTTTAAGAAATTTATTCTATAAATTATTTTAATTATTATTAATGATAATAACTAATTTTAAATTATTAAACTCAATATATAACTTTAAGTGATCATTATTATATGAATTTTTCAAGACTTTTTTATTTGGATTTCTGAATTTATAAGTATTTTTATCATAAACTTTATAAATATAGAATAATTCTTTTTATTTTTTACTAAATTTATTATAATACTAGTATTAAACTTCTATTTATTTTATTAATACTTTCTATTTTATCTAGAAAATTATTAACTTTTGTTTTCTGTTATATTATTTTTTTTGTTTTAACTATTTTTCTTGGATATTACTAAGAGCTAGTTTTTATATAATTTCTAGTTTGTTAACTAATTCACATTTTCTTTTAACAAGAGCTTTTTCAAAAGTAAGATTATTAAAATCTTTTAATTCAATATCTAGTAATATAATTACTTATCAACTATATATCAATTGAAAAGATTTAAATAAAATTATACTTTACTTCATTATTTTATAAGTGAATAAAACTAAAGATAGATAATAATCTTAATCTTTCTTATATAATTAAATATATTTTGATAGCAAAATATATAAAGTTTAGTTTAATCTTTTAACTAATCTATTTATTTAAGAATAATAAGAAGTAGAAAATCTATGCTTGATCTGATATTTTTCTAATAATTCTTTAATTATTTCATTAATAAATATAATTCTTCTATTACTAAGTATCTCTTT